TTCTCCTTCTCTCCCCCCTCCTCTTCCTCCTCCTCCTCCTTCTCTTCATTCCTCCTCCTCCTCCTCATTCCTCCTCCTCCTCCTCTTCTTCTTCTTCTTCCTCCTCCTCCTCTTCCTCTTCCTCTTCTTCTCCTCCTCCTTCTCCTTTCTCTTCCTGTTTTTAAATTTAAGAGATGGGGTCCTGCTCTGTCACCCAAGCTGGAGTGCAATGGCGTGATCATAGCTCACTACAGTCATAACCTCCCAGGCTCAAGCAATCCTCCCACCTCAGCCTCCAGAGTAGCTGGGAATACAGGCACACCTCACCACACCTAGCTAATTTTTAATTTTTTTTTTTGAGACAGGGTCTTTCTGTGTTGCCCAAGCTGGTCTTGAACTCCTGGGTTCAAGTGATCTGCCCCCCCTCAGCCTCCCAAAGTGTTGGGATTACAGGAGTGAGCCACCAAGTCTGGCCAAGTCACCCTTCTTGAACTTTGATTCACCAAGCTCTTCGGTGCAACTTTATACAAGTGTGAGCTCAGAGAGGTGTGTGCTTGTGATTCCTTTGTTCACACACAGCCAAGCTGGCACAAGGAAGTGAAACAGAGAAAGGCCTCAGTGTCTGTGGCCAAGCCCACAGAAGGCCACCTAAGCAGGCTGGATGCTGCCCAGGGCTGGGCCACGGTGTGTCCTTTGCAAGTCAGCCAGCTCAGGCCCCGAACCCCATACACACACGAAGACATCGTTCACCCCAGGAGCAGCCCCACAGTGCAAAGGAGCCCACACAGCTGCTAACGGCTGCTCAGGTTCGTCAGAGCTGTCTGGGGTCAGGCACAGCCTCCAGGGGCCTCTGGCCCAGGTTGCATCTTTCCTGCAGAGCGGAAAAGCAAAGCACAGTTAAGAAAACCCCAGGAAGGCAGTCAGTTTCCTCCCTTGAGTTTCTGGGGTGGGCTTCCGGCAGAGCTTTTGGAGAACTGACTGTTGCAGTTAAACAATATGTCTGGCAAGAAGCGAGACTTCCTCCTTTCCTGCTGCCTGGCTCGTGGTGCTGCAGCCTCACTTCCGGAGGTGGCAAGAAAGAACTGTGGCGTCTGCAATCTAAGGGATCCCTGGCAGCCCACGGCAGCCAGAGAACCACACCCCACTGGAGAACTCTAGGTTTTCTATGGTCTCTTGTTACTGCCAGTGCTTGTGTGGTTTGAGGTGGGTAATGCAGCAGCCTCCTGCAGCCAGCCCAGGACTGGGCAGCATGGAGCCAGGTAGTTAGTGTAGGAGAGCGAGCCCAGGCTTGGAAAGCAAGACTTGGCTCTGTCACTGGGCAACTGGGCAGCATTTTTATCATTTATTTATTTATTTATTTATTTATTTATTTATTTATTTATTTTTGAGACAGAGTCTTGCTCTATTGCCCAGGCTGGAGTGCTGTGGCATGTTCAACCCCTGCCTCCCTGGTTCAAGCAATTCTCCTGCCTCAGCCTCCTGAGTAGCTGGGACTACAGGCACGTGCCACCACAACCGGCTAAATTTTATATTTTTGGTAGAGATGGGGTTTTGTCATGTTGGCCAGACTGTTCTCAAACTCCTCCCCTCAAATAATCTGCCCCCCTTGGCCTCCCAAAGTGCTGGGATTACAGGCATGAGTGACTGTGCCCAGCCTGGGTAACTTTGAAGAAGTTACTTAGCTTCTCTGAGCCTCAGTTTCCTCAACTGTATAATGGAAGCAATAGTGTCCGTTTTGCAGGGCTGGTATGACTAGTAAATGAGAATCCTCATGAGGGCCTGGAAATGACAGTGTCATAATGCAGGTGGTTCTGCTATTACCAGTGACTAATATTTGTTGAGCACTGATCATAGACTAAGTTTGGTGCTGAGCATTTTATATTTATTGTCCCATTTAGTCCTCCTAAAAATCTAATGAGATATGACTATCCCCAGCTTACAAATAAGAAAATTGAGACTCAAAAAGGCCAGCACGTGACCCCAGATAACTGCATAAGGATATGCAGAGAGTGAGCAACAGGAGCCGAAGCCGTGGGCTCACACTGTGCTCTTCCTGCCTCTTAAGCCCACGGCACAGTTGGTGGGTGCTACCTGAATTGAGTGGATGTGCCTGTTGTTTTGAAGTTGGGGTCTATGGCCATACCACCCTGAACGTGCCTGATCTCATCTGAAGTTGAGGATAGCCATCATCTTTCATTTCAAAATGAAGAAACTGAGGCATTGGGACGTTAAGTCACACATAGCCAGCAAGTGGCAAAGAGTGAAAGGAACCAGCATTGATGAGCGCCTACTGTATGCCAAACACTGTGCTTACTTCAAGATCCTACAATCTGCTGGGTGGTTTTGGAGATGTTGGAGTTTCACTGACTTCCCACACTGCCCTGAAGAGGTCTTATTAGTATTAGCCCCATTTTACAGAGAAGGGAACTGAAGCTCCATACGTGTAATTAGACACTGAAGGCTGTTGATGGATGGGGAAGGAGAGGCTCCCTCTCTGCTTTTAAGGAATGCATGGACAGTTATGATTCTGGCCTGAAAAGGAAACAGAAGGGGCTCTGTGCCCATCTCACATACCCTGCCCCACCCCGAGGGCTTCATGGATCCCACCAGGGAAGGCTCCTGGCTGCCCAACAGAGGAAGGCGTCACTTCAGAAAGGGCTGTCCCCTCAGGCCTTCTGTAGGTGTCCGGTGGGGTCTGAGTGTGTGTGCCCTTCACTCCCTCTTCTCCATTCCCCCCATTCTCTCTGTGCTCCTGTAATGCCCACTGGACCACTGGAGAGCCCCCAGAGAGAGTAAACAGCAGCAGAGCACACAGCCAGCCTCCCAAGGGAACAGGGCTTTCCTGCACTCTCAGGTCTAGTAAAAAGCGAGCTTCCTACAGAAACGCACAGGGGACTGAGATCAGAGTCGAGCGGGCCTGGAAGGATCCTGGGGAACCAACAATGCTGCAAGTGAAGATGGAGGCCGCCCTCGGCAAGCCCTCCTTTCTGGCCCCCGGGGAGCCCTGGGGTGGACCCTGGTCACTCTCTTGAACATGAGACTCTAGTCTTTTTGCTCACTTCCAATATCAGTAAAATAAACTTGAGCACGTATTCCACAATGTGAAGGTTTATTGATTTATAAATTCTATAAATGTGCTACTGAGCTAATAAATGCATCACAATGCAGACATAAAAGTTGGTATTTTACTAGGATAAGAGGAAACCGTAACTAGAATTTCTGATATCTTCTTCCTACACCCCCAGCATTTTGCAGTGTACCCGCTTTGGGCCTTGGGAAAGCGATGTGGAGCCTGCACAGCCTGGTATTGGGCTAAGGCCTGGCTGCAATGGGACACTGTCCTTCCCTGCAAGAGGCCATCAAGCAAGGCATTTGGCACAGGTTTTGGGGTCAGACAGAAGTGGGTTCTGATCTCAGCTCTGCCTCTGAGGAGCAGTGTGGCCTGGGCAGTGACTTACCTCCTGCAGCCTCCGTTTCCTCATTACAAAGTGGGGGAGATAATCTTCCTGTGCAGAGGTGATGAGAGATGATGACCCCAAAGTCACAGCACGGTGGTGCGTGACACAGAGGAGGTGGGGCTCAGTCGATAGTCCTGAATCCTCCTGCTTACCAATGAGCTCCCGGTTCCCACCCATGCCAGGGAGGTCAGCAGGCAGCCTGGGGGCCTGAAGGTTCGTCCTAAGGATGAAGTCTAAACGCGGAGAACAGATGACTTGGGAGAAACGTCCCCGCAGCTCCTCCTTGGCTCTGGGCAAGCCTTTCCCATGAGTGGTAAGTCGCGTTCCTACGGCTCCAGGTAGAATTCCACAAAAAGAAAGATATGCATACACAATTTTTATTTCATCCCTCTTCTGGCATCCTCCCAGTTCACTCACACATGCTTGTGAGTCCCTTTGGTGACTTAGAAAGCACGGTAGAGCCAGCATAGTCATTCTGCAGCGGTAGAATCTATTTTTAGCCTGGAATAGCCCCATGGACAGGAGACCTGTACTGGCCCCCATTAAGGGGACTCCCCATCCTATGCCATTTATCAGGACTCACACAGCCCTCATGAGGCCACCAAAGAGACAGGACACCTCCCAAGTCACAGCTGCAGCCCTGAGAGGGACACGTACAATTTTGCCCCCTGGAGGCAGCCTCTTCCTGAGTGAGTGGCGGACTGTTCCGTCATCAAGCTGTCCGGGGCAAGATGGAGGAAGCCGCTGTTGACCGCTTCACCCACGCCCCAGAGAGGCTCTGAGGTGCTCCTGTGGCCTGGGACAGACTGTCTCTGCGAACAGCAGTCCATGGCCAGGCAATCACAGAAACATCTCCCCTGGAAGACCCGCATTCAAAGGACCACCAAATTAAACTCCCACTTCACACTGAGGGGGAAGTGATAAGTCATGGGGGCGTGGTGCAGAGAGATTGGGCCTACAGGTGGAGGAGGCCTGCAGCGCTTCTCTGGGAGGGGCAGCCTGCTCCCCTGGGAACCAAGCCACTGTTCTCTCCAACACCCCTACCCCAGAGGACTCTGTGTCTGAGCTTTCTGTGCAAGTATCAGCTTCCACTGCGGCTGCAGCAGGCACGTTGTTGGAGAGCCCGGCTGGGTTCAAGGACTCTTCCCTGGTGCAAGCCTGGGTTGCAAAGATCATGCCTGTAGGGGCTGGGATAGATGCCCTCTTATTAGCCATGCACCCTAGTTATTCCCTTCCCCACCTCTTTCCTGCCCTCCCCTTCTTTTCCCCTCAGAAGTGAAAGTGCTGGTAGCGGTCATCAATGTCCTTACAGAACATTTAGCTCAAAGTTGCATAATCTTTAACTTTCCCCAGGCCCCAGCCTGTCGGTCTCCACACCAGCCACTGTGAGGACAGGATGAATTCATTTGCAGAGGACAAGCACAAAACCTCCGGTAGAAAATAAAATGCAATGTACCATAGTAAATGGGAGCAGCTTTAAAAAAAAAAAAAAGCACAAAATCCATTGGGGACCCCGTTGCCATAGGAACTGGCATTACAGCTTGCTTCCGATAATGAATAGAGGGTTTTGCTATTACAGTATTCTGGAAACTTCGCTTTCCCCTGTGCTGCACTGCAGAATGCAGCATCCTCTCCCCATTCATAAATATTTCATGACCACCGGCTGCTGCGTTTCATCACCGCGGATAGCACTCGGCCTAATCCACCCCTTGCCAAATTCATGTTGTCCTGTCAGAGAGCAACTTCCATTTCTTCCTCTTTCTTCCGCAGTCTTCATTTATCTGGTTTGAAGTTCTTTACATTCCCAAACCCAGAATGGTGGCTTTCATTGTGGCTTTGTCTTCAGACGCTGAACATCTCTTTCCTGTGCCTGTCTTATTTTCCTGAAGGTTCCGTGGGCCTCCCCCAGGGGCACTGGTTCTGCTCAGGCCCTTCCTGCCCTCTGCACATCTGCTTTGATGGAGTCCTGGGAGGATACTGGGCTTTTGAATTCTGGTGCCTCAACGTGCTGGCTGAGCCTCTGTTCCCTCATGGTTGAGAGGAGATGCCACCTGCCCTGCAGGGTTGGAGAGAGAGAGCCAGATAAGATACAACACATGTAAAGTAACCATCCCCCCATGGGTGGGCTCAAATGGTCACAGTGGCTGCTGGTGTTAGTTTGTTCTCTTATATCTCTTGTTTTTGTCTAGATAAAATAAAATCTGTAACTTTTTTTTAATTGACAAAATTGTATATATTTGTGTGTACAGTAAGTTTTGATATTTTGACACGTAGAATGGCTGATCCAAGCTAATTAACCTGTGCATTACCTCACATACATTTTTGCAATGAGAATACTTAAAATACACTATTAGCAATTTTCAAGTATACCATATATTAACTATAGTCACCATGTTGTACAATAGATGTCCTGAACTTCTTCCTCCTGTCTAAATGAAAATTTTAACCTTTTAATCAACATCTCCCCAAGCCCCCCAAGCCCCTGAGCCC